AGAGTTGGCCCGAGTGCTCGCCTGGACCGTCGAGTTTCTTCAGGCATTCTTTCTCGTTGTCGACGATTTGATAGATGAGTCAATCACACGACGCGGTCAGCCCTGTTGGTACAAACTGGTCTGGTTACTTTGTCTTTTACATAGCACTATATATATTGCATTTATTCTTTATAACTTATAATAGCTTTATGCAAACTAAGAATTGCAGCATAAAATATTTAAATTTATATACATGTTTATAAAATCTAAATTTAATTGAATGATTGATGTAATTGATATAAATAATAGGAGCATGTTGGTCTTATATCATGCAATGACGCTATTTTGTTGGATCAGGAAAACTATCACATCCTTAAGCTATTCTTCTCAGACAAACCCTATTATCAGAAATTAGTGGATCTCATGCATGAGGTGAGCGTTTTTATACATATTGTTTGTTTAAAAAACATGAATGCTTTTTATACAATACCTGTAGTGTACTCGATATACAGCAATTGGGCAGTCAATGGACATGGCGTCAAATCCCCCCAATAAACGGCCGCAGTTTCATGTCTTCACGCAATTACGATACGATAGTATTGTTAAATACAAAACCGCTTTCTATTCTTTTGTTTTGCCCGTAAGACTAGGTATGCATTTCACTACAACTAACATCTGACCAATTAATTGGACAATTTGTTATTAATTATTGTATTCAATCCGCTGTTATATAGCGCTGTATATGTCATCGTTTAATTCCGAAGAAGACCACAAAATAGCCGAAGAGATACTATTAAAAATCGGACATCTATTTCAAGTACAGGACGACTATTTGGACTGTTTTGGAGATCCGGCTATTATTGGCAAAATTGGTACCGATATAGAGGAGGGCAAGTGTTCGTGGCTTATCGTAACCGCCTTTCAAATGTGTGATAAACAACAGCGAGAATTCATTGAAACTAATTATGGTATAAAAGATGGCGATTGTGTCCGAAGAGTGAAAGAGTTTTACAACAAACTCAACCTAAAGGATGTCTTTCACAAAGAAGAAGAAAAACAATACAAAGAAATCAATGTTCTGATCGACAATTTAAAAGCAAAATCCCAATTAAGTCCCAAAATATTCACAGAATTTTTAAATAGAATTTATAAAAGAAAGAAATAATTAGCATTTTTTCTATTAAAACAGCGATACATATTTGAAACAAGCTTTTATGGGAATTCTTAAATTATAACATTTATATTTTATACAATTAAAATTATTTTATAAAATATGAATATTGATATATAGTGCCAACACAAATTGTAATTTAATTATTTAAATGACCACTCTATAGTGATTGGGGTTTTTTAATTAACTTATAATATTATGTTATTATAATAACATAAGTTATAAGTTATAACTTATAACAATTTTGATACACATATGTGTGTATTTATTATTAATTGTAATACATAATAATATAGTTTAGATTAACTTAGATAGGTTATATACTGTATATGTTCAAATTATTTCAAGACAATTATTTATAAGACATAGAGACTAAACATTGGATTTAAATTTATATTAATTTTTCCCTTTTCCCAATACTCTTTCAATGATTGATAATAATTATTATTGTAATAAATAAATTTGTAAATCTAAAAACTTTAATTACTGTTTAACTAAACAAATGTTTAATTAATTTTGCAAAACGCTCTAACACTCAAACGAAACTTGAAAAATAAATAATTTAGCTAGACTTGCATTATTTAAACAAAATCCAAAGTCATCATTGTTCATTTTAATTATTGTTTGGGTGCATTACAAAAATTATTATTTTTAATCGATTATTCGTGAAATCACAATTAATGTTTATTAAAAATTTTATTTAATAATTACATAAATGCGAAATAATATGCTTAATGGATTTGTAATAGCCTCATAATACATAATGATAAAAAGAATTGTGTTTATATTTGCTATTTTAAAATGCAATAATATACAAACATAATTGGTTTTCAATTTAAAAATAATTAATTCCGTTATTCTTAACAACCAATTCATAAACAGATATTACTTTTCCTCGTTTTACTCCTCAGTATGTGTTTTGTCAATAACTTCTTTCATTTTTTCAATGACTTTACGAGATATCAGTTTCAGTATTGCTGTCTTATACTATATTTTCCTCTCTTTTTTACACAGATTTTTATACATAAAATCAATTAATTTTTGGCTACTAATTAAACTTGTTTTAATTAAATTATATTAAATATTTAAGTCGACGTGTATTTTAATCTAAATTATTCTAAATTAATAAATCGTTATTTGTCTCCAAACACTTAACAGTACTGTTTGTTAACGTAATATTTATTTTACGGGTAAATCAACATTTACTCGAGAAAAGTCAGTGAAAAATATCAATAATAAGAAATGGATTACAAGAGCGAGTTTAAAGAGTTGGACGAAACGTTTGTCAAAATAATGTCGACTATAATACCGGCAAAACCAGCAAAAGAGTTGATCTCAACGATGGAGTGGTTGAAGGAATGCATATTATATAACGTTCCGCACGGAAAGCGCAACAGAGGTCTGGCAGTGGTCTCGACGTATCGTATTCTCGCTGAACAACAGGCGAAGACACCGACGCCTCAAGAGCTAGAGTTGGCGCGAGTGCTCGCCTGGACCGTCGAGTTTCTTCAGTCATACTTTCTCGTTGTCGACGATATGATGGATCAGTCAATTACACGACGAGGACAGCCCTGTTGGTACAAACTGGTCTGGTTACTTTTTTGTTTGTACTTTTTTAATTATATAATACAATAATAATTTGAAAAAATCCTAAGTAGGAAAACCTTTGAGCGCGGCTCAACTGATCCCGACGGGAGTGATTCAGTCGTGACCACAACAATGATGAGACTCGAATCCCTTTTACAGAAC